TCATGGATGATCTCTGATGCTGGCAGCCTCGCTGTGGAAATTGAACACCTTATGAAGACCTTCAGACAAAATTTCCAAGACATCAAACAGGATTTCTGTCACAAGAAAGAGTTACAAACACAACAGAAAAAATCTGACTAGCATAGCCTTGCTGCTTTACCAATTAACCATCTCATACAGTATCAGCAGACTGCTTAATAAATACATTGCCCTTAGTGGACTAGTGGTTAGCATGCTTGCCACTGGACCAAAGGTTTGAGGGTTCAAACCCGGCTGAGGTCGATGGATTTTTAAGGGTGATAAAAATCCATAGCACAACTTCCTTTGGAGGGGAAGTAAAGCCGGCGGTCCCATGTCGTAGATTTGTATCATGTAAAAGAACCTTACAAGCATGAACAAGATGTTTCTTAAGCAAAATTCAGTGACCATTTCTCACCCCAGTCTCTCCTGATTCACTACTAGATGGCTCTAGCAGACAAATTAGGATTGAGTAGAAACTGTGCAGAGGCAGTGGGCTTTTCACTCACTACTCATAAATCACACTTTAAAGACAAAGAAACCTCCCACATGGGAGGAGGCCAAGGCTCAGCTTCAGGCTGTTGCGCCATAGAGTCAGTCGGTCAGTCAGCTAGCTTGATAAATACAACATCAAGAGTATCAACATTCTGGCCAAGAAAAATATCCACCTACTCAGACCAGTTGCCAGTATCTACCACATCCCTTCTGAATGTGGTAAAGTTTATGTGGGGCAGACTGGCAGAACCATCAACATTAGATGCAAGGACCATATGAGGCACATTTGCCTTGAGCAGCCAGAGAAGTTGGTGGTGGCAGAACACTGGATTGATACAGCACGCAATATACATTTCAATGGTATCTCCATACTAGGGATGGCTGCTAGGTACATGAATTATCTTGTGAGGGAAGCCGTTCCTATGAGGGACTCATGACAAAGATGCACGTGCTCATGAAACATCCAATATGGTAAATGTTTTTGACATATCTGTGGAGACTTGAAAGTGGTCACACTTCTGCTTGGTATAAGCTAAGCTGTGTGAAGTACTGTTATTTCTTCTGTGAATGATGCATCTGAGCATGAGAAAGCAATTGCTCAGAGAGACAATGGTCTTTTTGACTTAATGAAAAATGTCATTAAAGCTATAGATTGAAGTGTAAGTGGGTTCCTATTCTTAAAATAGATAGATAGATAGAAAGATGAGATATTTATGGGCCCACAGATTAGAGGAATTACGAGAGACGTTATGTGTTTTGAAAATTAAAGTATAATTGACAGAGGAGCTTGGAGGGCATTGATGACAAACTTCCTTGGAAATAGCAAGGCAGAATATTATGAATCTCTTGCTGAGGTACTTATGAATCCCTGCAAAATCATGGGATGCAAATGCAAAATATCATTATAAATTCCTTTTATGGATTTATATCTTGACATTTTCTGAACGTACTTGGGTGTTAGTGTCTAACACGGGGTAGTTTCAACAAGAATGTTCATGATGGAGGTGCGATGCAAATGGAGCCCCAGCATATTGTCTGACTACTGCTGGATGTTGGTAAGGGATGCCCCAGTGGCAAAATCCAAACATAAATCTCCAATAGCTACATTTTATTTGAGTGTAGAATGCAATTTCTACTTTGATATTGTTATTGCATCTTTTGATTAGTCCAAATTTAATTTTTGTGTCTTCCAAATTGGTGAGTGATTGACACATTTTGAGGCCATTTTTGAACTCGCTGTTAAAAAGCGACCTATCTTTGTGAGTGTGACAAAAACGTTTTTATTGTCTGCACTTTCCCAAAATACAGTTATCAAGGTCTTAGCATGAGATCAAATTGCAATAAATAAAATGTGACTAGATGAGATAGGGGTGGTTATGTGCTATGCAGCTATGTGAGGCTCTCCTTGAAATGGCTGTAGAGTGAGTGGTACACCATTTATGTTGTTTCTTGCAATGTTGCCATTAACCTTTGTTATGATTCAAAACAGTGCTCTTTGTATTCATAACTGTACATACTGACAGACAGGCCTGTACATATCCTGAATGCCAAGTTGCCATGATGCCTAAAATGTTCATGATAATGCTTAGAATATTCTGTGTATTATTTTGACTGTTTTGTGTCTTTTCATATAATTAATATAATGTAATATTTGTATATTCACACAATATAATTCTGATTCCAACATGTAAAGGTAGATCCAGGCATTGGCAAATAAGTTTACATTAATTATATTTCCATTTTTTGGTATATTCTTTCTCCTACATTTTGCAGGTGGCCCCTAAATTAAAGATAATTTGTGCATGCTTACCTTAAGATGTCCATTTTCTATATGCTAATCAGAGTTTAATTAAAGTTTTATATTACTTCACATGGTCCATGTGAATTCCCTGCCTACAGAATGGGAATTATATACATGTAAATCCTTTATGCTGCTGTAATAACCAGATTTTTTTTCAGGATCAAAATCCAGATATTAGTTCACAAAATGTTGCAAAGGCTGACAAAACTGAAGTGAATAGCACCAAAGGTTGGGAAGAAGTAGATCCTGTGAGTACAAAGCAAGGTGAGAATCTTGTGAAACCATTAATGTGTAGAATTTGATATTAATTACTTTACTGACTTCTTTTCCAGAATGTTGCTCAAGTGGAAGATGCCACTCCAACGTGTATGGGAATGATGGCTGTAAGTAGTGAAAATTATGCACGTGTGCTTACTTGTCTGTAAAACCATTAGTTTTGGTTGGATTGTAATGGTTTTTAGTGTGGTGGAATGTCACAGTTATCAGTGTACACAGTTTTAACCTTTGTCATAAGGGAATAAGCTATTTAAGTGCCTGTACTGTACTGAGCGTGTATGCAAACTTAGCCCCTGTTCAATTTCTATTTTATTCCTCAAAATTTGTGCCATTGTTATGAGAATCAAATTATGTTCTGTTGAGATAAGTAAAGTTTTCTACTGGTTCCCACTTTTGAAAAGTAGAATATGTATGTAAGATTTGAGGTTTTCACAGCGGTGAGTATGAAGATTTCTGGGTTGTTGCGCTGTGTAGTCTCATAGATGTATACCAACGTTTCAGAGGTCATACTGCCTCCATCATCAGGGCGATGTATGAATATGTATGTTAGTTTCTGTATCCAGCCCTCTGAATGCACCCGCTGCGTCATATCCTCACCCCTAGCACACTACGAACACTTGATGTAGGTCAGTTTCTGCATTCAGAACTTCTAGGAATGCACTGACATACCCTATATTTTGAGGTTAAGTGTCATTTCTGATTGGTTATTTTGGTTCAAATGTTATTCTACAATATGCCCCTGAAGAAGGTGCTGTAGTATTAAAACTTGTATGTTGATTAAAATTGCCTATATGTAGCAGGAAATTAATGTGACATTAATAGGAATATAATGTACAGTAGCATTGAATCCGAAAATTAAATTTGCTTTCCATAAGCCTAACAGAAAATGAGGGAAATGGAGATCTCTTTCCCATAGACACAATGCTATAATTCATGGAGTCAGTCTCTGTGTTGCATCTAAAACATCATAAAAGGTAGTGAAAATGTAATCAGTGGTGTAAGTGGAAGGACCATCATACTAGTCAGACAGTGAAAATAACGGATTGACCGTGGCCTGATGATGATATTCTTCTTTGAGTGAAGTATGATGTTCCTTTGTCATGATGATGTAGCAGTGTCAGAACATTTTGCCAGATTTAACTCATATTCATTGACTTGTAGGAGAATCATTTCATTGGTATAAGTAGCAACCCTGTTTTTCTATTTTAAAAATTCAATAACCATTTGTTGATATTTTACAGTGTATGCAGCTCATGGGTGCTGAAAATCAAGATGTTGTGACATGTGGTGTTTCAACTCAAGTACTCGATCTCGTACGCGGTGTTCCTGTTAGTCGTATGGCCGTCACACTTTGGCTGGAATGTGGAAACTCATGGACACAGATAAGTGAAGGGTGAGGTTTCAATCAGTAATTTACAACATAGTTCTGGAATGCCCCACTTAATGGTACCTGCACCTTGTCATTGTGGTGGGGCTTGAGTACCTCAGTGACCCCAAGAGCTATGCTGGCGGTAGCATAGCTACTGGTAGGGCCTCCCTAGCCAGATTGGTCGAGGGGTAGAGGTGAGACTAAGACAGGTACCCTGGTCCTCCAGGTTGGGGGTTGGTCGCAAGGCTAACAACCTTACACCGTAAAAAGGAAGATGTTTCGAAACCTCAATCGGACCTAACAGAAAGAAGGCAGCAGAGGATAGGACTGAATGGAAGAGGAGAATTGAGGAGGCCATGGACCGAATACGGACCGGAGAGCCATAGAAGAAGAAGAAGAAGTTCTGGGATCGGAGTATTTGATACTTTAAGTTCTGATGGTTTACGTTATTATGTGTGAAAAGGGCGGGCTGTGTGAGAAGCTTCTGCTGACTGTTGTGCTCCAGAAAGAGGGATACCTGTTCAGTGTGCATGTCTGCTGAGTTTTACCTGTAATGTAATACCATAAATAACTCAGTATGCAGTGTTACAGCTATGTGAAGAGTTACATGATGTGAAACAAGAGTGGACAGATGCTTCCTTCTTAATTTTTTGTACCTCATTCTCCTTGTTGATATATTGTAGATACAAGTGTATTGTTGCAGAGCTATTTATGTTACATATGAACATAAATTATTTTTTTCTTACTCGAGCTGTAGAATTTAACCCTGTGCCTCTGCTAACATAGAACGTAATCAAAATTAGAAAGCCCTGTTCTTTGTAACATGGTCTAATGTAAAACTAGCCCAGTATTGAAGGAATGTCATGTCAGTGCAGCTACAGAACCAGTTGTATGAATAGTAGTTGGAGAAAGTGAGGCATGGGCTTCATATTATTTCATGTCCATTCACATTTTCAGTCCTAAAACATTCATTATAGGATAGATAGGATTTGAGGTTTTCATGGTGCTGACTCTGAAGATGGCTGTCTTCTGGGTTGTAGTGCCATGTAGTCTGGTGGAAGTTTACCAATGTTTTAGAGGTAGCAGGTACCTCTGAAACATTGGTAAACTTCTACCAGACTAAGGTAAAAACAAAACAACCCAAAAGACAATTATTTTCATACTCATTGCTGTGAGAGCATCAAATTCAAAATAAGGAATGTGTTTGCCAAAATGGCACACCAGATAGTCAACTAAGTTACATGCATTGGCTCCAGTTTTCAGTGGGTGATAATGTGAGATGGCAAATTAAGATCTGGCTCTTAGCTGTCTCCCAGTGACATGTTGTCCATACCAAATATGATTCAAGTACTTTATGTGTGTATTGTTGTTCAAAGAACACACAACAACCTTTACTGTATGGGAATAAAGATTAAAACCTCCCATATTACAAGGCTGCTCTCCAGATTTTAATTTTGGGATTAAATTGTTTATCAGTATGCTGTGTGCAAGTCTAGATATATATTGTACACATTAAATTATATTGCTCTAAAGGAAGTTTACATCTTGTATGATTTTATGATATTGTAGGCACATGTAGACTTGTATAGTGACATTGCATTAAAGTTTTATACACAGAATGTTTTCTTCCTCCAAAATACAATTCCATTAAGGTGGGAGGAAGTTCAGAAACATTGTTCTTTGTGTAAAGTATAATTATTGGGGGAGAATATATATATTTCGACACCCCTGAACTTGAAATATCATATCCTTTTGGTTCATTATTACAATTTTTCCTTCATCGTTATAATTGTTAGGGCTTAGGGAACTAACTTCAATTGTAGCTGTATAATTCTAGTTGAAGGAAATGGTTGACCCTACAAAGAAGGAACTTAAAGTTAATTTTTGCATTAACTTTTACTTTTTTCACATAATTATTCTCTCTCATAACTTCTAAACAGTATGGTGGTCCAAGAAGTTTTATTTTTGTTATGTATTTTTATAACTGAATGGTACAGAGTGAAGGGGTTTGATCCCTGATGTGGACAAAGGGTGTTTCCTCTAGCCTCTGTGTCCACCCAGCTTCCTATATAATGGGTACTGGGGTCATTTCCGGTGGTAAAGCGCAGCCGGAGCGTTGTGCTAACCACTCACCTTCCCCCTAGTGCCTGCATGACATAATGGGACAGCTTTACTTTATTTTATGGTACAAAATGAAACTTCCTTATTCAACTCTTCAGTCATTCACCTGAAATGCTCCAAATTCCATGCACTAGTATGTATATGGCTAATTGTATAATAATACAAGATCCAAAGTACCTAAGCACCAACATACTTTGTTCATCAATGGCCAGGTCTCAGAATGTTAAAACATTAATCTGCATTCAGAATTACAGATGCTGGTGGTTACTGCACCAATTTGCTGAGAATGAATGAAGTAGTGGCTGGCCGTTACAAGATGCATTTTGAGGTCAAAAAGTATTTTACACTTGGGCTACACGATACATTTTATCCCTTCATTGAGGTGAGTAGATATATCAGTAGTCTGTTCTAGGTAGAGAGCTATACTTACAAAATAAAATAAAAACAATTATTTTATTTAGTTAAATGTTCAAAACATCAAATGATATTTCACATATATTGAACCTTAACCCTGTGCCATCCTCATTCATCATGCTCTTGCCTGAGCCTGTAGGATTGCTTTTTTAAAATTGCCTTTTAACTATTAAATTAATACTGTGTAAAATTAACACACCTTTTGAAAATCTTATACACAGGGTTATTCATAATTCCCTGACACATTACAAAAAATCGCCTGACTTGAATGGTGCAATAATGGCAACATAGGACATGTCGATATGACGTACCTCATAAATGCTCTATGACCATGCGCTGCTTCATTGGCCACTCCGTTCACCCGACCTGACGCCATGTGATCGCCATGTGATTTCTTCTTATGGGGGTACGTTAAGGACCAGGTCTTTGTACCGTCCCTGCCACCGAAGACGAATCATCGCTGCCATCTCAAATCAATTGTGACATGCTGCAGCAGGTATGGGCGGAAATGGATTATCGGCTTGACATCTGCTCGTCACAAAGGGTGGACACATAGAGCATTTATGTGGTATGTAAAATAAACTTGGAGAGTTTCTCTTTCTATCGGCATGTCCTATGTTGCCATTCATTGCACCATTCAAGTCTAGCGATTTTCTGTAATGTGTCTTCAGTTTCAGCATTTTCAGATTTATGAATTCCTTAGGCCAGTTTTTTTGTCCCAGCCTTGCTGTTCCACAAGCTAGAGCCTCCTTTGCTAAAGCAATTTCAATAGTTTTGTTGAGGTGAAAAAGTTGTAAAACTATATATGGTGCCTGTTTCTGACATATTCTTCAGTTATTTGTAGAACTGTTTGCTTCCCCAGCAATAGATCCCAGAGCTCTGCCTCTTTTCTACTCCTGTAAATTTGGCAACAACAACAACAACAGCAGGCATCCATTAATACTATCTGCAAGATTCTATCCTTTGATACTCCACTTGGTTTTCTGGGCACGTACGGTTTCAAATGAAACCGCCCTTTCAAACTAATCACGGCCTCGTCCACTACCAAGTTGTGACTGGGCAGGTTAGGTTCTGAAAATTGTCTACAGTATCTAATGTCTGCCTTACCTTGTACAGTATGTCATAGTTTTTGTTGTGTTGTTCAGGTCTTTGTTCTTCATCTTTGAGATGCAGATACTAACAAGTCTTTTGGGCATTTTCATTGCCAAAGCTTGCCAAACAATGGTGCATGTACAGAAGTCACCATAAAAATAACCATCTATTTCTGGAAGATCCATGGTTCCCATATATATCAAGATTCCAGCATAAGCTTAAATTTCTTCTGCATTTGTTTCTTCCCAACTGAAATCATTTACACCTGATTTTCTTTGTGAGAAAGGAGCATGTTTGTTTCTTTATTTCTTTGTTTCATTTGCTATGTCTCAGTAAAGAGACTGTCTGTAAACAAATTGAAATAATCTTGATTCTATGGCAGATGAAAGTAAAATTTTTGGACAGTACATAGACTATATGAATATGCAAGATAAAATGAGAAACTTGAACAGTTGCCGCCGCTGACGGTGTATGTTGTGCCCGTGTAAGGTGAGAAATAATTTTTTTATTAACTTTTGAAACCGCACCATTCTTTTGTGTATACCTGTATAAAACTCTACTCACCAGACTAACATTCTTTTTCCATATCAAAGAATTCCAACAAGACTGGTTTTTAACAAGTTGGAAAATGTTTACAATTACCATGTTGGGGACTCCTTGTGATTGTGATGTTACCTCTCTGGCTGGGGATTCCCCATTATAACTTATGCTTGCACTGGTTTGCATGATATGTTGAAGGCCTTTCTTCTGTTAGAGGTACAATTTTTTTATGTTTGAATTGCCTCAGGTTACTTTTGATGTGTCAGACCCAGTTGAGCAGTACCATGTCCCATTACTTCTCAGCCCATTTGGATATATGGTGTATAGAGGAAGATAATTTACTATCATCTCAGTGTACTTTAAAACTTGGTTCATTAAATGATGGTACTCCAACCTGTGCAGGTGAGTTTCCAGGTTTAAGAGCTTCCATCACTAGGGACAAACTGCACAAAGTTGGAATGAATTGGATTATCATCTCAACATCTCCCATGTAACTCACAGAGCACATGTCAAGTCTCTGTGAGGTGTTTACAAAACGTTGATAGTTCTTCTGGTTTAGGTGTGAAATTCTAAGTATGCCGAATTTGCCAAAATTGAAGGGAATACTGCAATAACATAACGAGTTGCAACATATCACATTTGCAGATGTTAGTCATGATAAAATTTTGTTAAATAGCAATACGTGAAGTGAAATTCCTGACATATGTAATGGTTTAGTTTATTAAAATGTCTTTATCTCATTTACTGAATGTGTGTATACATCTATATAGGACAGCCTGTGTATATAATATTTTGAAATCTTAGGATAATTGTAGTAATAAGTAAAATTAATAATGATCAAGATGCTGTTTATTACTTTCACATCACATAAAAAATGCAGTTTTTATAGATGTGTAACAATTGTGTTATGGGTCTGTTGACTGTGACATTTTATATGTTAATCATCTTCACCATTCAGTAGCAGTTAGTGAATAATAGTCATATCGGTGCACCAGAGGTGACACATCTTTCAGGTAGCTAACGTTTTTAAATGTGACTCATATACTTCTCCTGTATGTTGCATAAAATTGCTCTGATTGATTTACCCTTTTCAGGAGCATTGATTATTCTTCATTGCACTCGTGCTTCGAAAACATGAGAGCTGGATGATGATCATACCTGAAACACGGAACGTCAGTGAACTCAGCATTGTGCTCGTCAACTTCGGCTTTCTTCCTTGGAAAGGAGTGAAAGAAGTGAAGTCATGCAAGTCCTAATGCATATGGTGGACATCAAACTTATTCAGATCTTTGCTTTTTTTGCCACAGTATGTCATTCTTAAGGTAAAAACACCTGAGGAACTTTGATGCTTCTTTGTAAGAGCAAAATCTCTCTCTGGCAGAAGATGGTTGTGACTGCTCGCCGATCACTCCGTATTTTCCGTCTTACTATTTATATCCACAAAATAATGGCAGTACAGAGCATTGTTTAATCTTGTCTGTGTAAACAGATGGTCTGCAAGTTTTCTTCCTTTGAAGAACTTAACTAAATAAGGTATTTTATTACTGCTGTGTTTTGCTTTGTCTTCTGACCACATACACGTGCATTCCTTGTCCTTACCAGTCATGAATACTCGAGTTACAAACCCACGGCTTTTTTTCTAATAAACTTGGTGAACTGTCTGTTGTGGACTGAGACAGGTACTGTGATGCAGGGTCACACCTGGGCTTCTTTGCACCATCAGGAAGCCCAAATGTGTCTGTATTATTAATTATAAATGTTAACATATTGTCTTAATCTGTCATAAATAAAAAATATAAAATCAATAAAAATAAAGAAAGAGACAAGAGAGAACCATGAGAACATGACTTCATGTTATCCAAAATGTGTTTTTAATCTAAATAATTGATAATTAACACATGGGTAATTCTGGTGGGTTAGGATTGGCAGTGGGTAGGATGATGGAATGCAATGGTGTTGGGTATAATCTTGTATCTCTGGGGCTGTGACTGCATCTCCGTAAATGTCATTACACCGTTGGCTCCAGAATTGGCAATGTCTGTTGGAGATGAAATGAAGTAGTAACCTATAAAAGTTTGTCAAATTTAGCACACGCTGATTGTTGTTTTATAGGTCATATATTGTAGCATTGGCCCTGTGATAATGAAGGTCCAACTCTTTTAATGCACCGTTGTTATTTTCACTTTGAGCAGACTCCTTCAAGACTTCTAATATGTCATGAGATATACAGGTGCAAAACTGATGTTAAACCCAATACTAAAGTTCTGTACATTCTGAAGGAAGTTCTAAACATTGCTCTTTAGCCCAAGACCCATAGAAGTTTTGATAAAGGCTTCATGATGAAAGGTCACAGCTGAAGTAAAATTTATAGTAGTTGTTACTGTATTTTGCTATTCTGCTAATATATGGAGGCAGCAAGGATCTCTGAAACATTAGTAAACTTCTACCAGACTACACGGCGCTACAACACAGAAGACAGCCATCTTCCACTCCAGTTACTTAGTAGTGAATGTACTATAGCAGCATCCAGTAGGCACTGTGCTTGATGTATGATACAAGTACGAAATAAAGTATAACATCAGTTTAATTGCCACCAATCATCTCAAAGCAACATTGACACAAATATTTTCTGAGGAGTAAGAAAGTTGTGCTGTTGTATATGGCTGAGCTGTGGTATTATCCATAATTATTCTTGCACATGGTTATAGTGATATGTATAGTGTGTGTATATGTATACTAATTTATAGCAGTATTAAGTACTATTAATTATTTATAAGTTAATGGATGTGTGAAATATGTATCACAAAACGGTGGAAACCATTTGTACATCTTTTGTAACTTGGTATTCTTCCAGTGTTATTTCTGACCAGGATGATTGCAACTAAAACATAAACAGGATGTGTACACTCACATTTCTGAAGTCTGTCAGGTACTAAAACCTAATCCGTAGTCTTTGTAGGAAACAGAGGAAGATTGCTGAGGATGAGGTAAGTTTGTGAAAATAGATTTGTTGGTAAAGAAAAAAGTGAATATGGAATGTAGATGACTGTCTTCTGGGATTTTTCACTGTGTAGTATAGTAGAAATTTAATAGCGTTTCACAGGTGCTACTGCCTCCATAATCAGGGAAATTAAGTTTTGGTAAATTTCTAATAGACTACATGGCACATCATACTTACCACCATGAGGACCTGAAATAGCACATCAGTGTATGTCACTCAATTTGCTGGCCAATATAAATATTGGCATACAAATTGCTCTTCATTTTTTGGAATAGTGTAATCCATGTCATAATTCTGCTGCAAGTTTGATAGATTATACTGTCCGTACTCAGAGAGGATCTTATTTCTCGAGGGTTCAGCACACTCTTATTTGATTATTACATTAGTAAACTTTTTGTTAAGATCCTTTCTCAAGTGTTACCATTCTCCACCACCATCCACACTCCCATCGCTTGCTTAGCTGGGGAATCGTGAATCATCTCACTCAGAATCCAATATCATGTAAATATCTACGATATGATATACTACAGAATCCTCATGTAAGCAGTGGGATACAACATAAAAATCTGGTGTCAGATGTGGCAGGCATCGAACCTGTTGCTGCAGGACCATTAAAAGATGGGAATTCGTGGGATGGGACCAGTTTGCTTCTGTCTAAAATGTTAAGGGACAGGCAGTGATACACTTTGGGAAAACAGAACATAATGTGTTGAGTAAAGAAGAAATAAATTAGTTTTAATGTTCAGGGGAAACTAATAAAACTGAATGCACTCTCCTACATTGCTGTGGAAACTTTACAATGGAGTAAGCGTAAATCTAATAGAGAGGTAAACCAGCTGTGTGGTACAATTCAAACCAAGTTTAATTTTACATTGTAAACCTTGCAGTAATGAGAAAGCAGCAGAGCAGGTAGACTGAGACTACTGAAAGAATGTAGAAGCAACCATGGGCAACTGGACCAGGAGGACAAGGCAACCCATCTTACACTTTGGTAGTGTGTGATGCTTAAACTGAATGGTGTTACACATCAAGCCACTGGGAAGCTGCAAAATGTGTGCTGCTACCATCATAGAGGAATCACAGGGGTAGGTTTTGCTGAGAAGTCTGTGCCTCTTAACACCTGCTAGTTCAAGTACCCAGGTTGCCAAGGCAGGAAGGTCCAGTGCCATAGCTTAGGGGTATATGAGTATAGGAGAAGCTGTGCAGTTGATTCTACCTTTCAGATTTTGCCTTCATAGAAAATTTATGAGATTAATAGTAATTAATCCATGTTATTAAAACACATATAGATTTGTATTGAACCAAATAAGCTGATATTGAATAACAGCAATAATATGTAGGAACTTGGATAAGCTCTTTCATAGAAAAGAGGACATTTGATATCCATCGCAAGCCAACTTTTCAAATTGTGATGAGGAAAGCAAGAATGAAATGGGTTCAGAAAATCCAAACTTCATTGTCTTTGTGTTTATGAAGCAGCACTGTTAAATTGTTATGAGGGAGGAAGAGAGGGAATATTTAACATGTCTGTATTCTTTTGTTTTGTTTTTAATTTGTTTTATGTAGGGGGTCCGTTCAGACAGGTTACACACAATCGTGCATATTAGAAATTACAATACTTTCGATGAAATAGTATAGACTGCTCTTTGAGAAGAAAGTGCCATTGTGTCTAAACAGGATGGATATGAAGGGGAGCCAGTCCTAATAAATGTGGTCACTTTGGTAAGAAAATATGCATGTCAATTATGTTGTTGAGAAATGAACAGGTATTGCAAGAGACCTGACCTGTTTTTGCTGCAAGGAAAAGAAGCACTTTATTTTTCCAATCTTTACCCACACATTCATTCAAGCTCTCCAGAACCATTTGAGGTTTTAAATTAATCTGTTCTTTAACTTCTACCTTTAGGTTCTTGAAATGAAATCCTCTTCTTCTATGGATCTCCGGTCCATAGCCTCCTCAATTCTCCTCTTCCATTCGGTCCTATCCTCCGCTGCCTTCTGTTAGGCCCGTCTGTCTGAGGCTTTGATTGAAGTTTCAAAACATCTTCCTTTTTTTTACGGTGCAAGGTTGTTAGCCTTGTGACCAACACCCAACCTGGAGGACCAGGGTACCTGTCTTAGTCTGACCTCTCCCCCTTGACCAATCTGGCTAGGGAGGCCCTACCAGTAGCTATGCTACCGCCAGCATAGCTCTTGGGGTCACTGAGGTACTCAAGCCCCACCACCACGACAAGGTGCAGGTACCATTAAGTGAGGTGAAATTAAATCTCTCTGTATTGAATTGTTTGCTCATTTACTTACTGAATGCATCTCCTTAACTTGTGCAACAACAAATATTGGCCAGTACCTTACCAATACATTGACTGCTAATTGTATAAGTACTTGAACTTTACCTCTCATCTGTGAAGACATGATCGGTCTCATTGGGTTTATACATCATAATCCAGGTTCATATGTAAATCATTATGTGGAAATATTATAGTCTTCAAAACTGTATTTTTTAATGTGGTAAAGTTTACTATTCTAACATCATTCTCATTCATGATAGGTATTATGTAAACTCTGTTTGATAATACCTTTGCTTCTTATTTTTCTTTATAGTTCTCGGACATAATGCTCGTGTGGCGAGTACGGAACTGAACAATTTGTATGCACCGAGAAACTTCCTTTCCTCCACTCTCTCTGATGTTGCTTGCTGTTGGCCTGTTAGAGACAAGGACTTGATTTTGTTTGGTTATTCCCCCCATTTTTGCTTGTATGTTTAAATGTTACATTCTTATACAGTTTGTACTATGAGCCAGCGTAGCTCAGTCAGTATAGTGATTGGCTACGGACTGGGAGACTGGGGTTCGATCCCCGACGGGGCAGAGGATTTTTCCTCTAGCCTCTATGTCCAAACTGGCTCTGGGGCCCACCCAGCCTCCTATCCAATGGGTACTGGGGGTCCTTTCTCGGGAGTAAAGCCGGCCGGGGCATGATGCTGACCACTCACCCCCATCTAGTGCCGAAGTCAAGAATGAGTAGGAGCTATACCTCCACTCCCCCCCAAGCACCTACATGGCGTATAGTGGGACAGCTTTACTTTACTTTTACTATACAGTTTGTACTTGATATACAGAGTGAACACAAAAGAACTTTATACTTTGAGAATTCTACAGAGAGCAAATGTGGCATACTTAGCTCTTCATACCCACACTAGTCAATAGAAAAATTCTCAGTTTTCTTTCAAATGACCTGAGTGATTGTTATTATTGCTTGTCTCCAATAAAGCTCATAAAAATCAAATTGCTCAGCGAGTCATGAGATGCAGCTACCACAAACAACTGTCTCCAAAATCCTGCGTTTACTTATGAAACCCTTCAAACTTCAATTGGCCAGGCTCTGAAACCAGGACATTAGGCTGTACAATACAAATTCTGCTGCGAGATCCTAGCCAGGATTGAAAACGATGATTTCCTGCAGATATCAGGTCTGTGAGGTGTGTATAAAACTTTAAGTTTCTTTACCGACTGGTGTAGGTGTGAAGTTTCTGTATAATTTTGAAATTGTAAAATTCTGTGCTCACCTTATATTGTTCTGGCCATTGCCTAGTCACTTTAGATATTGTCCATTCCATCTTTAAACATGCCAAATTCTGTGTTGTCAGTAGTAACTTATCTTACTTTGTGTTTATCATGGCCTATCTATTATTTATATCACTTTATTTAATACATAATCATTGTGTCTTCTGACAACATTCTGTTTTCTTATTATCTCTGCAAGTGAACTCCACAGTTATGTTTATGTTGTCATGGAAATTTGATGACAGTTTCAGCGTGTTTATGGCAGTGTCCCATTCAACATACCACCTCAAGTTCAAGAGGTAGCAGAACGTGGTCTTGTAAATGCATACATTATGGTTTATACTGTTTTGTCTCCTCCCCTTAGTCACTTTATGCCCCATGTTCCTGGTGTAGTTTATTGATATTATAAGGAACATAATAGGCTGTATGCTGGTCCATCTAATCCTTGTATTTCTGATGACCTCTATTGAGTTGCAGTTTGAATTTGGTAGGTGTAGGCCTGCCTCAAGGTTGTCAAACATGGAAGCAGCTTGTTATAAGCTAAATGGACTGTGTCGTAATGGAGTTTAACAAATCATGATATGATGATAGATATTGCCCTCCAGATTTTGTTGCTGATGATGCAGGCACACCCTCGTGGCACTGTCAACAAAGTGTGTTCAAAGCTGATGCTTTGGTGGCTGCTACCTGAAAACATTATTCTCAGCCTAATGAATATGAGTGGTAGTCGCTGCATGCTGCTTCATTCTGTCACTCTCATTTCAGAGGTCATCATCCAGTGTGCGACAGAAGCACATGAAATCTGCATTTTGAGGAAATGGGGAGGCATACACTGCATTATAAAAACATTATCCTTGGCAAAATTAATGATTAGTCTGTTTTATCACAGGAGGTAACAGTGGAAGCTGGTGCACCCTCTGTCTCTCTTGGTCTCTGTTCCTCTCATTTTAATGGGCATCACCTGCAGACAATGTGCAACTATTCTATTGGGAAATGATTTTGCAGGCTGTGTGTAACAACATTATGCACACTGTGACTGGCTATCAAGAAATTGCTACAGCCAATGTCTTTTGAACTTAACAATTTAAATGTGAGAAGTGCTTCAGGGAATATTAATTTAAGAACTTTGATATGGCTTATAAATGTCTCCTTTTTATTTTTCTCTTAAAGTCAGATGTGGCTTATATACACAGCCTATATTTGCATACATACAATATACCATTTGAATTTCACATGCAAATGGGATTAACTTATGTAATTTATAAGTATTAAACTTTCTCATACCTAAAATGATAACAAAAGTGGTGGCAAAATATTTAGAAAGTGAAAGTAATCAATTAATTAATTTGCAGAAAAACAGAACTTCAGTGCACAGTATTTTGTGAAAAAATTAAAAGTTGCTTTATCCCATCTCTTTTATGCTATTAAATTGAATGGCATTTTCATCTGCCCATTCCATGAAACCGTTTCCTAATGCCACAATGCATTCCAGAAGATTCAGGGCATCATTCTCTGCATAGTGACTGTTCACAGGATCCCTCTTTAAGAGGAACCTGTAAACATCATCAAGTTTAAAGCTACTTAATGTGTTTTGCAGTTTTTCCTTTGAAAGCAAATTGAGTCTCTTCTGTGTTGGACAGGAAACATTTAAACAACCCCTTTTTCCTTCAGTTATCTCAGAAGTATCAACTTCTGGTGTGGTGGATTTGCAGGCTTGCAGCAGGTTCCGGAAGCCACATAGGGAATCAGCGCACATAATGTGGTCAGGAAATGCCTGTAAGACACAAATTATCAGTATATAAAAATTAAACTTCTCTCTTCTTATACCAAGAGATCTTAGAGTAACACCATTATGTAATGGTTCCTATTTGGAAGACTTTAGGTTCACAGTCTAGTTCATGATTTTCCTCAGGTCCTCCAGTGAAATTCTTTATAGAATGTTGTAGGCTTGTATTCAGGAGAGACCTGGTACTCACGATAACTTTGCCATTTCATTTGATGCTATGTATAACAGGGCTGTGGAGTTGGAAGCAATTTTAGGTGGAGTCGGTAAAAATGTACCGACTCCGACCTCGACATAAAATCTTAAGAACACTTTCGCTACCGTGTGGGCTGCCGGCGGCCTCATGCTTAGGGATATTCAATGACGCATTGAGCCACATGGTGTGGGATGCCTTGTAACTTTGGCTCCAGTACCTTAAGAATACAAACTATCTACAAATCAACCGATTTCTGCAGTAACCATTAGACGTATATTTAAATACTGGGAACGACCCGTTCTTCAAGTTCCTGAGCCCTGTGGGTCCCAACTTTCCATTGACTTGATCTATAGACATTCGGTAGGACTCCTTGGACGAGGGATCAGCCCTTCGCAAGGCCTCTACCTGTACACAGGACAGCACAACACAGAAAAACGCAGACATACATCCATGGCTTGAGTGGGATTCGAACCCATGGTCCCAGCGACCGTGCGGCCACTGCAGACCCTGTATATAGGTTGTAAGTCTAAAAAGTAGTCTGATGATTAAGGTGGTGGTGATGAAATCTCTTGTGGTACCATTTACTATTATTAATACATATTGAGCTTTTATGAAGGAGTCAGAGTCAGATTTTAGTACTGACTCCACAGCCCTGATATATAAACTGCACAGTTAAAGCAGTGAAATTTGTAACTCAAACATCAGTCTTTAGCAACCAGTGCTACATAAGCTATGCTGTTGACTACCATTAACCAATGGCATATAGCGGGACAGCTGTACTTAAGAGGTGCAAATATCACTCCCCTTTCATTAGTTCAAGATATCTGGCAAGCTGTTGTTACTAAACATAGAAAATACTGAAAAAAGTGTATTCTTTGGAGTATACTGACAATCCAGAGGTGTTTGTCACATTGCAGTGGTTCCCAATTTGTGGTTCGTGAGCCCCTTAGGGGTTAGAGAAAAATCAATAATGATGGATTTTTGCAGTCTTAGTTAATATGATGATAAGTAATTTGGACTTTGTTCATTGACCACTATGTTTAATTGTTCATATTCACCTTGTATTTTGGAAGAAGATGGATCACCGAAGGATAGGTATTTGGTGACACTGGGTGCAGAAATTGTCAGATAGAGGAACTTTTATGGTGCCCCCAACTCCATCCCTCACCAAGTACCATTACTGCTGAGACTGTGGGTTATAGCTTGTGGTGGTTTTCTTCCTGGATACTGAATCAGATAGTAATTAAACTGAAAGAAATTCTTGCATATACCATGCTCAGAATCATGGACACTTGTGTTATCTGGATTATTGAATTTTTGGACCTTGTCCATCGCCTGATCTTATAAAACACATTTCAAGAACTGGATTTGTTCTCATCTTCAGGTGTAATGAAGGGGGCATCTACAGTAATACTGACATGTCACACATGCTGTTTAAATGTAAATTATCTGTTTTATGCATGAGTACAATGTTAAGGTCACAAGTAGTCCCAAGATTCAGAGTCTGGAGGGTACTTGTATTTTGTATAATCACTGTGATGCTAAACGTTTTTGCTTCTTTGGAGGTAAACTGTTAGACTGAGGAGAGGTTGGCCATGTGTGTGGCTGAAGTGGTTCGCCTGTGATTCGTGCTTACATTAACACTGCCAAAGTGATAAGAATTCATCATTTCAACCAAATTGTACTGCAGCTAAAATTTATATTAGTGCACAAATGCATTTATAAGATGAAAATCATTCTTTAAAAAAGTTTCCATTAACAGGACATAAAAATACTTGATAAATTTTTAATGCATTGCAGAAAAGGAAAATCTTTTCTAAAATAGCATTAAACATAATGGGATCATCTTCAGGTGGTTACATATAGGATACTACTGATTGTTGAAGATGATGTGGATATGTTAATACAATATTAGTAGTTAAAATGGTTATACCACTGAGTAGAAGTTATCAATGCTAAAATTAAAATTATCCTGCAAGACCATTATAAATACACACCTGGGAGGGAGAGGAAGACCATGAAGTGATAGCACATACAGAGATATAACCCAGTCCTTCCTTAAAAACCGTCAGATATGATACAATTACATTTTGGCTGTAGAAGTGTCATGTGCAGGCTAAAGGTGGCGACTGACTTGTAACATTTGCCTGTAATGTAACGTGTTACAAATCGAACATTACACAAGTGAAGACAGCGAACGGAGCCGCTCGATGCGAGCCGCTCACGCTCGCGGGCGCTCCATCGTGTTGTCGGTTTTTTCGCGAATCCCTTTGAGTGTTACATTACAAGTCAGTCAGTCAGTCGAGCGGCGTCGTAACGAGCATTCACGAGTTCTTTAGATAAGAGTAGCGTATTAAATGAAACAAAGATAACACAACCTCCACGTCCGACATATTGAATGAAATGAATGGAGCACACACGAGCACAGTCGAGCCAAGCGTTCAAAACGAGCATTTGATACGCCTCACCAGTTGTGGTGTAATGTAACATGCTCGCCGCGAATGTTACATTACAAGTAAATGTTACAAGTCAGTCGCCACCTTTAGATGTGTGCCAGCATTGCTTGCTTTTTGTAGTTCCTTTAGTTCACAAAATACAGTATAGTGCAGAAGTCAGTGAATGAGAATTCCATCGACTGCATTGAAATTAAAAGGGGAAAACATGTTTTCAATTATACTACAAATGCTTAGACAGACTCTTTGCCGTCTTGCTCCCCCCCTTGCCCTTTTAATCTTCCCTTCCTCTGTTCCAGTTATGCAGCTGAAGCTTGCGATTATGTTTCAGCCACTGTAATTGCTCTTTCTTCTCAGCACTCAATATGCAAAAATGGCAGTGTTGCTGAAAGGATTAGCTGAACATTGTGCCAAGCCGTCTCAGTCAGTTTCTTTATGAATGACTGAACTTGGTCTTGCACATTGAAAGGTGTAGTGTTCAGCCCTGAAGAGACAAATTTAAATAATTTATTGTTAGGGACAATATGTGCCAAATAATCCAAAGCAAGGAGCCTGACAGGATCTTGCAATTGGATGGCTTTGTGAAAAGGGTGGGTGGAGAGACAAAAATTTGCTTCTGAGGTTAGGGACTGCATTTCATACCTTGCCAATCTTGAACAGTTCCGCTTGGAGGATGGGGAAGTCAAATCGAAGACCATTATGAGCAATTATGCACACTGGTTGTGGTACTCTTTTCATAAAGCCATTTAACATATTGAAGAGATGTTCATCAAATGGATTCTGATGCTCTAATAGTTCATTGGTTAAGTCTGAAATACATTACATTTTCATTTAATCTTACTCAGTTATAAAAGTTAGAATATGTATGCCTGCCTTAAACTTACAAGATGCCTGCATACATACACTGGACAGGAATTGTGAATGTGAAGTAAAAAAATAAGTTGGACTACAGCTTGACCAGACCCGACCTGCCCTACAGTCTATAGCATGTAGCTAGAACCTTCATTCTGGAAAGAAATAACAAATCAACAAGCTCTGTCCTATACAACTGCAGACAATACAGGATTATTTAATTAATTTCTCAAGTGGTTTTGACGTAATGGTCTAACCAGCTCTTACAGATATATACCAGATAGGCAGAATATGTAGCTACTACTTTGATACATTCATTTTTAACAAAAAGAAATGGATCATGTTCAACATCGACCAGACTACACAGCGCAATAACCCAGAAGACAGAAATCTTCTTTAAAGATGTCACCATATCATAAGTCCACAATCATCGTGACAAATGATGGTAGGAAAAAAATTCAGACACTTTATTCAAGTAATAAAGTACACCTTCCATTCTCTGAAAGCACATAAACTGTACAACTACTACAATTATGTTGGAACATTGTTCTCCAACTTTAAGTACAACCCAGACCCTCCTTACAAATATAATCTATAATTTGTCCTCATATCTTAAATATTCACAATTTAGGTTAAGTGACATTGCAGTTAGGTATGGTAGGTCTAGTTCTGCCTCAAAACAATAATTGTGCTATAATGGAGAAGGAGTATCAGCAACCAATACAGTATCTTATTACTGAATTGAATTCCTCTTGTAATTTCCCAGCTACTAGCCAGAGGCAGCCTACCTTTAGCTAATCCTGATAAGAGCCTAAAATGATGCAGGCTATTACTAAATGTGATTAAATGATACACACTAACAAGAGTATATGTTCTATTTTGGCTTTTCATCTTTGAATCAGTAGGGCTGTAATAGTATCTAACAGGTATTAAATAATGGTTTGCATTGTGAATGGCTATATTTCAATACACTTCAATATGTATGTATTATGGAAGGCTAATATACGATATGTGATAGTGCAAGAAAATGTTGATGAAAATTTTGCGTAAATATTGCAAAGTTATAACTTCAAGTACTTTAATGTATTAAAAAATTCAAAAACAACTTTAGTGGCTCATTCCTTGGCAAGAAATATATTAAAGGATGTTGCATATTTTGAGATGAGAAGATAATGTTTACCTGATCTTAACCTGTGTAACTTTGATTCAATGGTTACAGTCTAGCAGAAAACAAACAAAATGAACCCACATATGCAACAAAAGTTGATGTAGTACATCAAATTCCATGGAGTAAAGTACTTAAGACATTTATAGTCGCTCTGATGGTAAAGTAATTCCCCATAATTTATTTACCATGTTAGTCAGTTAACGAAGAACTGGGGGATATTTTTTAGTTTCAATCTTATTAAACCATACTGATCTGTGTAAGATAAGTCTCGTAAATACCTTATCCACTAAAATGTAATCTAACCTAACATCAGCGGCGAATATCATATAAAAGTACAAATTTAACGTACGTGTAATGTCAGACGCACGTTTTGAAATTCTTCTTCTTGGGGAGATACAAATAGATAACTTAGACAATACTCTAGGCACAGCAACTCCATTTATTAGACCATTTCTATATTCAGTTATATGTTCTCTCAATGCAGCAACCATTGATATTTCCGTTATTTTAACGGGTTTGTCATATGGCAGGCCTGTTGTTTCTAAATCTAATATTACAAACGATCTGATTCGATTTTTCACACATCCCTGTTGTACCACACCACCCATTTAATTTAGAAGCACTGCATGTATCAAAATCACAATAATTTATTATCAGCACATTTGTCACAGATTATAAGATGTTTTATGGTTAGGGTTCGGCTAAACTAACGAATAAATCGATAGTGAAATTTCTGGATCTAATGGCTGTGAGTATGAAATGACAGTTGTCTGTGATATTGCACCGTGTGTTGGTATTGTCTGTGTACAAACAGGCCGATATTTCAGAGGTGTGTACTGCCTCCATCATCAGGGCGATAGCCCTGCACCTCTGAAACGTCGGTTAACTTTTACGAGACTAAACGCTCACTTGTTTATATATCAAGTGATCGGGAAGACTAGAAGGAGTATTCAATTATTTAATATTCCCTTTTACAAATACCACGCTAGGTAGAGTTATTGGGCCTTTCGTCTAATTGCTCACACCTAACACATGTACAGACACGTGGTAGAGACATACTTTATAATTGTAAGCGTATACGATAAGGTGTCGAAATGTGGCTGGTCTACTCCTTCAGCTTTCCCTTCCCCTAACACTGTATAAATTCTGGGTAAGTACGAGTCTGCAAGTCCAAAACGCATTATAAAAATAATACAAAACAAACGACATAGAGACACCATAGAGAAATATCATATACAAAGAACACATAAACAAAACCTTGCACTAAACGACAGCAACATTTACACGAACAATCCGATATTTAACATTCTACAGTCCATTGACCCAACCCCCTAAACAACTTTCACCCAATATATATAGCCACACACGATACCTACAACTCAGTTGCTGTCTGCCATTCAATAACAACGGACACGCACCTCACACACAACCCGGTATGTTATAATACTTTATATTTTGTGATTGTATTTCTTTTGCTTGTATTACGATATATTTGAGTAATTCCTTAAAATAATATAAAATTAGAGTAATATTATTCCATTTCCTATGTCGGTAGCCAGAATCACGATATGAAAATTAAAATTGATTTTGCAGATATAGGCACCCAGACGCGTCTCCAAAATTAAATGAAAGAAGCCTGGAGATGTAATAAAAACGGATAAAACATAAGCAATATAAGCAGAGCAACAGATACACCAGATTTTAATTTTAATTTTGATAGACCTGACGATGATAGAATTGTATATCGAAACATGTCGTCAATTTTAAAATGTAACAATTTTATGTGAAATTTTATATGATTTTAACAATAAGCTTGTGTAACGACGGAAAATAAAAGTACTGTATTGCAGAACATCATCTTTTTACCCCTATTCGAATAAATAGTCAAATGAAAAAAATAGGATGATTTATTCGTGTCACATTCAAGTATGGAAAATATTAATATTTACAATTATATAATTGTACCCGTCATTTTCTGTACATAGAAGCCTGTCAGTATGTGCCAGCAGAGACCTCAATCTTCTTAAGGGACTATCAAGACTTAAACTACATATTACAAACATAGAAGATGACCATCTTCTGGGATGTTGCGCTGTGTAGTCTTGTAGAAGTTTACGGACGTTTCAAAGGTGCTTGCTGCCACTATAATCAGGGCAATGTTGACTACACGGCGCAAAATTCCAGTAGAAAGCAACCTTTTATACTCGCCACCGTGACAACCGCAGCGGTAGAGTATATCAGCGTGTACATAGATAAGATGTAGAAGAATTTATCTATATAAAATATTTAAAGCTGTAAGTGGCAGAAGAAATGTTGAAGAAACTGGGGGAAGATATTTTAAAAGCAAAATCATATATCATTTTAAAAGTTGGCTGTCTTCTGGGATGTTGCGCCACGTAGTCTGATAGAAGTTTACCAACGTTTCAGAGGTAAGTTTTGCCGCTATTATCAGGCGAACGTTGGTAAAGTTCTTTTCAAACTTATTTTTAGAAATGGTCGTAGTTAGTTTCTCTAAATATCAATCTCCACTATTTCTGGGTTCAACTCCCAGAGAGCCATCCAACCAAATTGCTTCTTACACAAGACAAGTTTCCTGATGGGACAATCTCACACCAGTAGCAACAGCCCCTAGTTTAAGAAGTCATGGCTTTCAACCAGGACGAAATTCTCGTTAGCGAAAGAGCACCTCTATGTTGACACAGATAATACTGAAATCTTTCCTTTTGTTTGTGACAATCGTTGGCAAGGAGTGAGGTGTGTGCTAACGCACATAATGTGCTACTTCGTTCATAGCTGCTCAAGACGTCGTCAGTTGGTTACATCTCGGTTGATATCTTAACAGTGGTTAGCTCATGAGTAGATAATTTCCAGTTCGGAGGAGGTAGACGTTGTCAGGGAACGATTATGACAAAAATAAGTCATCAGTACCTTTATTTTTGATCACTACTATGTTGCATATGTCATACTTTGGCAATCCACTGTTGTAGAGTAAAAAGAAGTTATTTTCTAAAATAAGATGTCTGTTGAGAATAAAGGTATTTGTAACGCGGATATGCCTGTGCATGACACAGGGACAGGTAATGTTCTTTCAAGAAGATTAAATAAGATTTTGGAGACAAGAATTGAAAATGATAAGGAAACCTTGGAAGCGCTAAAGGAGCTTTCGACGTTTTTTACTGAAAACACCTTACAAGCACGAAGAAATTTAAGAAGTAAAATAGAAAAGCGAAGTCTTGTTATAAACGAGGTATTTTTACAAGTTGTGCCCCAATTAATGTAAAAAATATTCCTTAGTAAATTGGATTGTGATTATCTTAGATGTTAAAGTAGGATCAAGTGATGAAGTGAGCTGCTGAATCACATTTTCAGGATTATATTACTGAATATGGGCATCAAGGTGGGTTGTACAAACTTTCAGCCAATACATTCTGAGAAAAATTAGTGCTGATCCATAAATCTTGTATATCTGACAGTTTAAATAGTGGGGATATTTACATATTTCTGAAAAACATAGCCTGCCACATGCTAAAAGTGCCTGAATTCATTAATTAATATATAGGGATTTAGTTGCAATAAAAATTGAAATCGGAACTTCCACTATGTTGATATCTACATGTCAAATAAAAATAATAAAACTCGATGGTGTGGTTTAAACTTCATTATTTTCTCTTTTTTATTTAGTATGGAATGACCGTGGCACTAATGCCACTTTCACCTTGCAAGTTCATGTATCTGCCTTGTTGGTATCACTAATTTAGGATGTCAAGAAAGTATGAAGGCCTGCACTGGTATGATGTCCATATCAGATTTTGTCAGAATCCTTCCAGTGATTCTGGAGTTGAATCATGTGGCCAGATGAGTAGATGTGGTCAGATCTATAGGAGTTAATTTTTTTTGCACATGTCCAGAGAACTCACGAACGTAATCACCGATTCATCATGGGAAGGTCCATTCACTAAGAATCTTTTTATAGGATTTCCTGTCAGCTTTCCGTGATGTGAAAGAAGTGCTAGATGCCATCTATAGTGATGTTTCTGAAATGAATAATTCAGTTCAGAAAATGATAAGCCGTCTTCAGGCAACAAAAACTCAGACACACCATCTTATTGATCAGACAACAAAACTTCAAGCAGAAAGGTACTGAATCTACATTAAAATACTTATGTGGAGTACATGATTTTAAGTGTTTTTTATATATGAAGACAAACAGCATTGTACTACATGAACTGCAACTGCTAACTCAGGATTTGTTGAATGATGAATGATGTTTGACTGGACTGATGTGTGAGTATCATCTGTATTGTTACCATGGTAATCCATACTATAGCAGTAGGTGAAAACGGTTTTATCCAATATTTAAACAAAAGTCACAGTAGCATTACATACTCTTCGCATTTTTAAATTCTTTTTTATGATTTCCTGAATGACAAGTGAGATTTAATTGTCTTATGCTCACTTACAGAAGGTAAATGCAAATTCAGTAAAGGAGGGTTGTTTAGGCTGAAGTAGGCGTTTGTTACGTTTAGTAACTCTAAATAAAACTCATACTCCTTTCTGCTTTACACGATGTCCAAAAATGTCTTTCATCATCTCTCTTCCTACCACCTTGTCCTGAAAGGAGCTGCTGTCTGTAACTTATCCTAACCTAGTGGCCCACTCATGTAGCTACTGAAATCTTTTTGCCATCCTTTCCTGAGTGCCATGGTCACCAAAACTTATTTTGTCATTCCTTTTCCTCATCAGATGGCTCTTAGAAGAAACTTTTTATTGATTCTTTTCCTCAACCACATGTTTATTGTCAATTGTTTATCAATGCACTCTGCCATACGAAATTCACCACCTATTTGTGTGCCCAATAAAGTGCTTCAAAAAAATGCCCAACAAACGTATTCATCCTGAAGATGGAAACTGCAGTGTTAGCTGAAATGTTGGATAACTTTTAACATTCAACATGGCTCATCCCTGAAAGCTGAAATTTTACATTGAACCTCAGTTGTGAAAACCTCAGTACACTTAAGTCAGTAGTAGGAAAAGTTGCTTAAGAAGTTGTCAGAAAAAAGATCTTTAGTGAGCTTTAATGAATTTATGCAATTATAGAATGTAATTAAATGCTGAAGATACCAACTGTGAATGTTGTGGACACAAAGCCACCTTATATAGTACTTGTGCAAAGAAACAGGTTGCAAACCAAGAGTATGAGGGGCACACAAAAAGTAATTGCTAGTCTTATTTCTTATTGTTTGTTAGCAGTTTTTACCTTTTTCAATGACACTAGGAAATTCAGTCAAGTGGACTTCACTGTTTCCATTTAAAACTATTTAATTCCATGTAAAGGCCATCACACTTGAAGAAACTTTTGAAGGAGGTGTCTCAACTATTGCATGTGATTTATAGTCACTCATAATGAAAGCATTCCAGATTTTCACATCTAAAATGAACATGTATTTATTAAAATTTCCACTTTACCTTTTAGACATGAATGTTTTCAGAAAGAGGGCATTTATTGTTACCTCCTTTATGTTTTATGTGGGTCAATGGTGTTATACTCTGGTCATGATGTATATGGAGCAGAAATAAACACAGACAAAAAACAAGAACTTGCAGGTGATATGCTACTTTGCTGTTACGTAATATGTACTTCACTGTGTGATTATTATTCTGTTCCAGGAACATGGCATTAACTGTGTTCAGAGTACATCCCAACTCTCATACAATAATAAGTCAATATGATATTGCTCCCTGGTCAGTGTTTGTTGTTGTATGGTTCATACACATCCTAAATAGACTTTAGTAATGTAGTTTGATATTAAGAAATTATTTTTATTGCAGCCAGACATTAAGTCTACAGAAAGAGGTAGCAGGTGCATTCCTTAGAAGTTTTCAGCTTTCTCCTGCAGAACAGGCCGTATTGCGTGGTTCCTCACGTGAATGTGCGATCACGGATGAGTTCTTCACAGTTTTAGATAGAGTTCAAAGTATTCATAGTAATGGTCGAATGTTAATGCAGTCTGGCCACCAGACAGCTGCACTTGAAATCATGGAGCAAATGGCTCTTTATCAGGTATGTTTCACCCTTAATGTTACCACATTAATGTTATGCTGTATGGGTGTGAAACTTGGCCTCTCACTTTGAAGGAGGAACACAGATCGAGAGTCTTTGAGAACAGAGTGTTGATGAGGATATCTGGATCTAAAAAAGGAGGAAGACCAGTCATTTAGAAAATTGCATAATGATGAGCATCACAGTCTGTACTCCTCACCTGGTATTGTTAGGGTGATTATATTGAGGTGGGGGGGACATGTGGCATGCATGGTGGAGGGAAGGAGTGTTTATAGGTCGTGCGAGTAGTGGTGGCACCTAAATGCACAATGTGTAAGCCAAGAGAGGAGAGTTCAGTAGTAGTGGGGATTGCACAGCCTCAACTGCAGTGACGCACCGATCTAAACACAGCTAGAACTACAAACCAACTGAAGCTGACACCCCTCTAGTGCTTGCTTTGGATGGGTCCATCTCATATGACCAAAATCAGTCCTTTGCACAAGTGCCAGCACTTCTCGCTCGACCTCTACAAGATATTGGTTGGGAGGCCTAAAGAGAGGAGACCACTGGGAAGACCTAGGCGGAGATGTGAGGATATCGTTAAGATGGACCTTAGGGAGAGAGGAATCAATGGAGCAAACTGGATGCAGCTAGCTCAGAAATAGAGTCCAGTGTCAGGCTTTAGTGAGCACACTGATGAACCTTCTTTGACAAGCCAAGTATACAATTTACTTTTCAAAGAAATTTCTGCACCGTAGAGTGAGTGACCCCATGCCATTCAGCAGTTTCTCATATTACAGCCAGCAGGGGATATGGGGATTTAAATGCCTTGCACTTTAAAGGTTAAAGCTCAAACAAATTAAATTGGACTGGTTAGATGCTACATGTCCAAATAAACAGACCTCTGCTAATAATAGTCCATAGCATTCCATAAATTTTGTGCTTATAATTCTTTCAGATCATAAAATTATTCTGTAGGTGATTAAGTCTAAAATTTTTATTTCTAGGAAGCTGCTTTAGAAAGATTGTATCGTTGGACTCAGAGCCGTTGTCGGAACATAGAATCACCAGAGACAAGTATTCTTCTTAGTATGGCCATGTCACGACTGCAGGGCAGACCTGTTTTGTTCAGGTGAGTTTTTATTATTACATTCTTGTTTGGAGGCAATCATCCTGTAATTTGTCTTTGAATGAAACCTTTTAGTCAAAAACAGATGTAGATTTATATGGCATTTCTGACAGAGAGTCCAAGAATGGTTCACATATTTTTGGTGTTTCAAGTTCCCTTATTACTGATGGATTTGTTGACCTAAATCATAATACCCATATTGTCATGTGTACATCTGGTTGTGTCTGGGAGGTACAGTGTAATACACGTGATTCAGATGTGAAGATGAGAATAGTTTTACCAATGTTAGGGTCATCTATGATCAAGACTGTGTTTCAGAAACTAACAAAGCTGCCATCAAGAAAATAATTAATTGTAACAGCAGTGATGGAATAAATTCAGATTTAAAACAAAAACCCAGTCTTAATTATTGATATTTGGTACAGTTCACTGTATATAATAGCAAAAATTAGCCTGTCTCACCCTGTTTCTCCAATGGCATATCTTAGAAGAAAATGGTAAATACAAAGAAATTTCTTCTTGCAGAGACAACACAGAGAAAATTGCCTTTCTTAGGAGCAATGGTGTCCAAAAATATTTCCACATCAATATATGTGACATTAACCTAAAAGGAAGATGTTTTTGAATGCAAGGTGACTACACTGAAAATTTTGAGTGAATACACGAAACTCATGTTACTACAAACATGCAAAATGTATTAAATATTTGAAAGGATGTTATACATATCACTTATAAAGTCTCTTCCTGTATTCACTTTGACTAATATGTGACTCATTTTGCCATTCCTTTTGTCTTTCTCGCCTTCAGTGTTCTCACATTTGCGGCTCTTCAGTGTTCTCACATTTGCGGCTCGTACTCACGTCCACTCCCAACATTTCCGATTTCATTTTCCTCCCACAGAATGTCATCCTCCCTCCTGGCCATTGTGTTGTGACAGGTGTTTTATGGCCTATGGCCTCTGACCCTGAAACATATTTCTGTCTCTCTTTTTTGCTTGCTACTGTCATAACTCAATATTTTGTGAACTTTGTTATCAACTGGCCAAAAGCTAAAAGCATATGAAAGCTTGATACATATCCTTGAGTTTAAATACATTATGTATTTAGCAATCAAATTTTTTATGGTCGTTGATTTTGTGACTCTAAAAGTAGGGAAAATGCCCCAACCTCCATTTGGGTAAAATGGCACATCATAGAATGGAAAAACTATGTAATAGTCCTTGAGAAGTTAGTAGTTGCTTAAATGCCATGCATAGAGTAAACCTTGTTTGAATGGCATTTTTTGGAAAATTTCTCTGGTTTAGAAAAAATTGTATTTATTTTCAGAAAGCATCTTGCTTAAGTACACACATTCTTCTTTCTTTTCAAGTACTTTTGTTCCTTATGTGCTCTCTGGAATTTATATGGAGCAATGTAGCTTAAGGTGATTCTTAATTGTATGCAGTGAATATAAGGATTGTGTTCTGTTCCTAAAATAAAGCCAGGAAGTTCCTACGAACATGTGGTTGAATCCACTTTGTTAGTGAGATTAGGAAATCAAATATTGTTTCTTTTCTTTACTGGGTGATGTATGGTCTTAATGTTGTACTTGGTCAGCAATCTGATAATCTTTCCTGAGACTCTCAAGTCCCAGTGAAATGTTTTTGTAAATGTGAGTGGTCTATTTTATTACAGTTTTTGTACACTGGGTGTCTTTAGAGGAAATTATGAAGTTCAGCTTAAGCTTCATGTAAAACAGGGGTTAGGCTGAGGCCAGAACGTATCAGCTTGACTGCTAGTTGGTGATAGTTGAGCTGGAATGAGCAAAAATTAAATTTACAGATGGATGGACCTTTTCATTATGCATTTCCTACACAGATGAGATAAGAAAAGTAAATAGAAGTACATACTGTTAAGTCCAAATTTTTCTCATAAATTTAAATTAGTTGCCGCCTTGAGAAACTTAATTTTCTCTTCCAGGTATGTGTTGGATGAATACCGAACATCCCGGCGATCAGTTTTGGTGACAGCATTTATTGATGCTCTAACACAAGGTGGTCCAGGAGGCACCCCAAAACCCATTGAAATGCATGGTCATGATCCAAAGCGCTATGTGGGTGACATGTTGGCATGGCTCCACCAGGCTATCCCTAGTGAAAAGGACAACCTGCTCATCTTACTGAAGGGCTGTGATAAGACAGGTGTTGCCATGAAGTTTTGTTCATAATTATAGTTTATGCATACATTGTTATGTAGAACCTAGCGAAAGCACACATTCTTTGTGTGAATTTTCGTGGAAAGAAAAAAAATTATTCATTGGTGTGGGTATGTGCTTCGAGATTCTATTTCTCATGTTTGAAGGTAAGTGAAAATGAGTACTCATTTTTATGTCTCAAGGTGAGTTTGCCTTTAAATGTCTTGATTGAATCAACGTTTTTTGCTGTTCGAGTGATGAGAATACTTCCATCCGCAGTATACAATCTGCATCAGACTTCAGATTCAGCATTTTGCATGTCCTTGACTCCAGAGTTGAATCTTACAGGGATGCTGCATCAGCCGGTTTGCAAAATATAGTCATTGAATCCATTCAACATGGTGGTGGCACATTAATTGCAATTTCTGACACTTATGGATGTGAAATGTTAACCTTTATCTTACTAGCGTTTCCTGTCTGGGAACGTAAGTTGTGTACTCAGCCCTACGAACGTTCCCGGAGCGGAACTCAAAACTTGCAACATTGTAAGTAGACTTGGCTACGTCTTTTGGCCTCTTTTAGGGGCTGCAAATATTGAATCACTTTCTAGGGTTTTTACAAGATCAGCCTGAGCTGTCAAACCCGAAACTATAACCATAAAAAGCAATAAACATTGTTATTGTCAAGTGGGTTTCGGCTTTGTTTTCAGACCCCCTAATCAAAGCTACTCACATTCCTCGGCATGATCTGTGAAAAGAATGTGTATACACTGAAGTAGGGGAAACAAATTTTTCTGTGTGGTCATTAGTTCACAAGTTAAGTAAAGTTACTATGGCCTATTTAGGCAATTAAGATATTAACTGCATTTTTAAAAATCTCTATGTACTCTGTTCTATTCGAATAAATATGGCTTTTATTTTGTCAATTTATCATGTTTACTTTAGATAATATTAAAGTTTTCCGTGGAGCCTGCACAAAAGTTTAAAAACCTACAAAGAAACTCCATAGGGCTGCTACCACTATGCCATTTAAATCTCCGTCGTTTAAAGGTTAATCTGACATGGAATCATGTGAAGAATGCAACTCTTTGTGAGAGACGGTTTTAGTCCATTGATCGGTAATCATTATTCTGCACACAACACTAAGGTGGACATATTAAACAATCACTTTATGGATGTTTTGTCTTGTTTTCTCTTCTTGTATCTTTCCCCCTTATGTTAGCTGTGTAATAGGTTCCAGCAGCTGTTTTATCAGCATGTTAAAACAAAGAAATTAATTATTATTTCCCTCTTGGTGATAATGTAGTAATTACAGATTTTAAGAATGTAAAATGTTCGGACATAACCTTAAATTTTCACTGTCACCTATTTCTTGACTGATAAGCTATATTACATGCAGAATTTGAAGATATGTTTTATAAGATCTATTTCCTTGCCATATTTCAAATGAATACCTGCACATTTTCCTTTGTAATTGCCAACAGAATGTAAATATAGATTTCCTGCAGCTTCCATTTTGTTTTTTGCATTATAGAAAGAATTTGCATTAACAAATATTCCAATTTTTGAAAAGTATGTTACTGTATATACTTTTTTAAGTTCATGCATTTATTATATTGTTATTATCAAGTGCACAAAATTAAAAGGTATAAATTTTGAGTAGCCTCTAATAACATAATATTGACATCAAATGTAATTAAAATGTGTCTGGCAGTTCTGTTTAAAGAAATGCTGGCAGGCAGAGTGACAGACAGGCACAGTCTTCTCTGTATGATTTTATTTTGTGCACATTGTTCAAAGAACAGATTTTAAGTGTGAAAGATTTTGAAATTTAAATTATTGATAGCAGATGTGTTAGCATTTCATCTATGTTGGGGTGGAATTGGTAGTGGTAGTGTCAAGAGGGGCCTAATCTGCTATTTTGAGAACTATTACTGCATTAGTGTTTTCTTTGTTCTGTTACCTTATGAATATATATTTGCATAATCAAAATTGAACTATGCTGAAATAATCAAATTGCATATTTATTGTGATACTCTTTAGTGATAACCACATACTAATTTGTTGCTGCGTTATGTTGTTTCCAAGTTGAAACAGCAATGGACAGAGGCCATGTTTTGTGATTATAAAAGCTGGTTACAATGGTTTGGCAGCCAGAAGACCACTGAACAAAAGGATTTTATATGTTAGTCATTCTTTTCTTCCCAGATGTCTCAGACCAAATTCTACAAACATTGTCTCACATTACTGAAGGAGTTTGTCATCCGCTGAAAGTTCGAGTGGAACGCATGTTAGCAGTAGACACAGATGCCACTGTGCTATATTCTGTCACCAACTTGGTTTGTTTTTATAAGCAAGTCATTGGACAGGTAGGAATTGTCTATTAATTGGTACTGAAGTGTCTTAGTTTTGATTTTGTGGCATAAAATGAATACAAAGGAGAAGACAGTCTGTTATCTTTTGCAGCCGCTGAAAGTATGTGTAGATCTCGGCAGTTCCATGCATTTTTTGCTGGTTAAGAAAGGCATTCTTACAATTATTTATTTTCATCCGTCTTATCACAATATTTAAAATTTCTTATAATTAAGATAATAAAATATTATTGATGTTCCATATCGATTGATCGATTTACACTTTGGAACATCCTTTACACAACATGTTTCAGTTTTTATAAAACCATCTTCAGGTGTATAAGATTTTCGAACTTAAAACTCAAATATTATTCCATTTGGTGATGTTTTATGCCATTTGTTTTTCGAATTTGGGCGAGGTGTTGTCTTTTCTTAAATTTAATCAGATGTACATATCGGTCTGTAAGTAGAAGATTGAAAGAAACACTAAAGAATTTGAAAGAATTTATAAAAGAATTTAGAGAGTAAAATGCAAAATATATACATTATAGATAAAAGTATCAGTAAGATATAAATAAAAACAAATAAAACATACCTTAGATGTAGGATTGATTGTATGTTCCGATATGTCCAGAAGTACGACTGTCATCGTATAGGTGTGGGTCAACATCACCAAATGGAATAATATTTGAGTTTTAAGTTCGAAAATCTTATACACCTGAAGATGGTTTTATAAAAACTGAAACATGTTGTGTAAAGGATGTTCCAAAGTGTAAATCGATCAATCGATATGGAACATCAATAATATTTTATTAATAACATCACCAAATGGAATAATATTTGAGTTTTAAGTTCGAAAATCTTATACACCTGAAGATGGTTTTATAAAAACTGAAACATGTTGTGTAAAGGATGTTCCAAAGTGTAAATCGATCAATCGATATGGAACATCAATAATATTTTATTATCTTAATTATAAGAAATTTTAAATATTGTGATAAGACGGATGAAAATAAATAATTGTTAGACTATTCACAATATGACGCAATTACACTATCTTATGAATAGTTAAAATATTGACCGAATTTTTCGTGCGTCTTTGTTGCATGTTATGTTTGTGTAACTGTACCAGGCATGTTTCCAATCCACACTCACCAACATAAAACATTACAAGGAACCGTTCATAATGCACTTGAAGCCTTTCCACCTGTTTATAAAGATAATGAAATAATACTTGTTCCTACGTTATTACCAAAGCTAAGTAAAATATGTAGCTTCCATTCAACTGCCTGAGTACAACAATACTGTATTAACGAGTTCTAAATATCATAAAACACATTCTAACCTACGTGAAAACATAAAGAAATGACCCATTCCCTGTCACCATTATATGGGTGGGGTTAGAAAGAAAACACAGCTAATTAATTGTTACCTTCTTCTGTGGTTACATACACATTTTTTGAAATAACCGACACAAAGTATATGCCTATCGTCGTAATTTATGTACCAGCAGCAAGAGGTCTTAGATGATTATCGTCACGAAGTTGGTAGCCATGTAAAGGTATTCTTCGACCTTTTTTGTTCAATTCTTTTTATTATGTGAAAGACCTAATACTAGACAATGACGAAGCTAAAGAACTTCAGTTAATGGTTTATGCAAATTAAATGCGGCCTTAAAAATTAATCTGGTAGCTGCTGCTGCTCCTTTAGCAAAGAAGTGCTTTCTATCTTGTACGTACTTTATTAAAGAAGATCATATTAAAATACTTGAGCAGGTACACAGACAATGCACGATGGATGTAGCTTGTAGGTCCAGAGAACGTGACAGCTGAAATTGTAGGTCCGTTCAACAAGAAGGAAGCTACCGCGCAAACAGCTTCAGAATTGTAACACAACGAAGAAGAGATCATTCATTCCCTTGCTTTGTACATGAAATTGTTGTAACATTTTTTAACTATCACTGCTGCCAACCAATACCCTCCCCCTCAACCCCCTTGAGCCGCTCTGACCCTCCTATAACACACTGCATGCAAAGACGTAAGTTCGAATACAATAATAACACACCCAATAAAATATTCCTGGCCTGACTCTGAAATCGAGATATTTGCTTATAGCATGGACTTCGGTCTTTACATCACACATCCGAAGTAGTTCTGAAATATATGTGGGAGGTTGAGGACTGTCTACTGACCCCCCCCCCCCCCCCCCCCCCCCCCCA